GGGGTGTTGAAGTCCTCTGCTATGATTGTGTTGCTCTCAATTTCTCCTTTGAAGTTATCCAGAAGTTTTTAAATATATTTTGGTGCTCCTATATTGGGTGCATATATGTTTACCAAGGTTATATCTTCCTGTTGGATAGATCCTTTCAATATTATATTGTGGCCTTCTTTGTCTCTAGTTATGGCCTTCATTCTGTAGTCTATTTTAAGGGATATGAGTATTGCTACTCACATGAGCTCTTTTTTCCTTTCCATTTGCTTGGAAGATTTTTTTCCATTCCTTCACTTTCAACCTATGTGAGTCTTTTGTTGTAAGGTGGGTCTCTTATAAACAACATATATATGAGTAATGCTTTCTTATCCAATAAGCTACTCTGTGTCTTTTGATCAGAGCATTTAATCCATTTACATTTAAGGTTATTATTGATATGTACTTATTTATTGCCATTTTTGTTTATTGTAGTTATATTATTATTCTACTATTTCATCTACAAATTACAGCAGTCCTTTTAATATTTCTTGCAGTGCTGGTTTGGTGCTAATATATTTTCTCTGTTATTTCTGTGCCTGGGGAGCTCTTTATTTCACCTTCTATTTTGACTAATAGCCTTGCTGGATAGAGTAGTCTTAGATTCAGATCCTTGTTTTTAATTTATTTGATTACTTCATGCCATTCCCTTCTGGCCTGTAGTGTTTCTGTTGAGAAGTCAGCTGTTATACTTATGGGCCTTCCTTTGTAGTTAGCCTGTTGCTTATCTCTTGTTGCTTTTAGAATTCTCTCTTTGTCTTTAATTTTTGGCATTTTAATCATTATGTGTCTTGGTGTGGGTCTCTTTGGGTTCTTGTTACTTGGGGCTCTCTGAGCTTCTTGAACTTTTTCCTTCACTAAGTTAGGGAAGTTTTCTGTCACTATTTCTTTTTTCTTTTTTTGTGGTATGTGCCCCTATTGGAACTAAACCCAGGCTGATGCTCAACCACTGAGCCAAACTGGCCAGAACTGTCACTATTTCTTCAAATATATTCTCTAACCCTTGCTCATTTTCTTATTCTTCTGGAACTCGTGTGGATATTGTTACATTTCATATTGTCCCACAGTTCTCTTAGGCTGTCTTTCTGTGTTTTTTTAAATTGTTTTTTCTTTTTGATTCTCTGATTGGGTGATTTTTTTCTATCTTGTCTTCTAATTCACCGATCCGATCCTTGGCCACCTCTACTCTGTTTCTTATTTTTTGCAATGTGTTCTTTATTTCTGCCATGTTATTCTTCATTTCCAATTGGTTGGTTTTTAATGCTTGTATATTTTCACTCATGCTGTTGAGCTTCCTCATGATTATTACTCTGAACTCACCCTTTGATATCTTGCTCAATTCTCTTTCATTTATTTCATCTTCTGTCCAACTATTTTGTTCTTTCGTTTGGGATTTGTTTCTTTGTTTCACCATTTTGGCTATGTCAGTGGGTTTTGGAGCCTGCTGAATTTTTCCTGTATGTGTTGGTATTCTGCTGGTTGTAGCTCCCTCTACAGGGTTTGGATGAGTGTGAGAGGACCCATGTTAAACGCCACTGTCAAGTCTTACTTTCCTGGGTAGATTTTTTTTAATCCTCACCTGAGGATATTTTTGCATTTATCTTCAGCTAGAGCTTGGGGGGTGGGGGAGTAGAAGGGGAAAAAGAAAGAGAGAAACATTGATGTGAGAGACACATCGACTGGTTGCCACCCACATGACCCCAACCAGGGCCGGGGATAAATTGCAACCAAGGTACATGCCCTTAGCAGGAACCGAACCCAGGACTCTCTGGTTCACAGGTTGACACTCTAACCACTGAACCAAACTGGCCAGGGCTTTCTGTATAGATTTGCAAACCTAGGAAAGATTTTGTTATCCTCTAGTTATTTTCCTGGAGGCTATTAGTCTCAGTTACTTGATGAGCCTTGGGTTGTAGCCTGTTATAACCCAGTAATTCTCCATCTGCTAGAAGAAGGAACCTCTCCTGGGTTCCTTGAACCCGAGTTGTTTTTGCAAAAATTCTTGAAGAGGAAGGTATGCATCAGCCATGACCAAACGGGTATTGACCATGAGTTTAACTAATCAGGAGATGCCAGGCGGGGCAATGAGACATTCAAGGCTAGGGTCTAGTAAATGTTAAGAAATATAAAATAAACAACTTGTACAGCTACTAACTGCTGATATCTGCTTCTGTACACGTAGCTTGCTTGCTCTGTTAAACTCTTGAGTAACCCCCGTCCTATATAAGCAACCCTCCCCCTGAGCTCGGGGCTGCAGTTCTCCTCTGTGTAGGTTGGCTGCAGTCCCTGCGCAGGTAATAAAGCTCCTAATATTCAAAATTACTTTGTGTCCGAGTGAGGTTGATTCTCCTGGGTTACAACAGCCTCAACTGAATGAAAAAATCCCTCAGGTGTTCAGGATAAGAGTATTTCCAGAGGGTGGGGCAGATGCTTGCTGGCTATTAATAAGCCTCAATTTGCATTTCTTTGGCCTGGCTGGGAGTTTTTATTCTTGGGGAGGGGGGCTATTTCTTCTACCTCGGTCTATGGGAAGGGGCTCTTTGAGTAAGATGGCTACTGTCCCGTGAAGGAATGATTCAGCAAAAAACCTCCCACTCCTGTCCCAGCTCTCCCAGCTCTCCCAGCTCCCAAGTCTCTCTACACAGTTCCCATTTAGTCTCCCCTCCCTCTACCAGAGCCCAAGGTGAGTGGCTATAGGTAATTTAGTGCTCTATCCCAGTCCTCTGTGCTATGGAGCCAGCTTGGGATTTTAACCTCAAGGAAGTTGTCTCAGCTAAAACAGCTGCTGTCCATGGGCTCCCTGCCTGCCCTCTTGCACCTCCACAGTTTCTACCAGGCTCAATTTTGTGTCTTCTTTCTGATTGCAGTTATAAGGGTCCTGTTCAACTTCTTTTCTGTTGTTTTTTCCTGATAATTTGTCTTTATTTTAGTTGTAATTCCAGTTTGATTCTGGGAGATGGTCTGTGTAGCTTCCATTCATTCCACTGCCATTTTGGAATCCCAGCTTCTTAATACAAAGATGCCATGCTTTATAGCATCTTTTATTCTTGCAACAAATATTAATACTATATCTACCCTGCTTTGTGACCCTGGGAAAGGCACTTGACTTGTCTGTTCCCTGGTTTCCTCCACTTTAAGTTGAAGACAGCTATTTCAGTAGCATTGGTATAGGAATGAAATAATATTTAACTGTGTCAAAGAGTCCCTGGAACATAGGAAATGCCATCTTATTTAATTTTTTATGAGCTTCTTCTATGCATTTTTCAATGAAGTTACTTTAGAATTTTGAAACCTTTTGTAAGCTTCTGCATGGCAGTTAAGAAAGGTATCTCTTGCCCAGCCAGTGTGGCTCAGTGAATTTTGTGTTGTCCCATGGACTGAGAGGTCCTGATTTGATTCCCGGTCAGGGTACATGCCTGGGTTGTAGGCTCAATCCCCAGCGGGGGGCATGAAGAAGGTGGCCAATCAATGTTCCTCTCTCACATCAATGTTTCTATTTCTCTCTCCCTTCCTGTCTCTCTAAAACAACCAATAAAAACATATTTAAAAAATAAATAAAGACAGCTATCTCATCTGGCCAAGCAACTCTAGGCTGTCTCCAGCAAGATTTTACCTCTTTTGCAAATATGTGCAACTTTCAGGACTGTAGTTCTTAAACATAAAATAAGTAGGTATGCCAGAAGCTGTCACACTCAATTTTTTGGATATAAAGAATCCTGTTTTGTGCTCACTTTGACAGTACTTATACTAAAATTGAAATGATACATAGAAAATTAGCATGCTCCTGACCCCCATAATAGAATTCCGTTTCTTAGTCTTTACATAGGGCCTCCTGCTCTACACAGTCCAGCTCAAATTAGACCCAGTCTGATATCAGCCCAAGTTGTTTTTCAATTTAATCCAGGTCTTTTTTCTTTTTTAATCCTCACCCAAGGATATTTTTTTCTTTGATTTCAGAGGGAGTGGAAAAGAGGGAGGGAGGGGAATTGGGAGGGGAGGAAGAAGAGAGAGACAGAGAGAGAGATGTGAGGGAAAAATATCAATTTGTGCCTTCTTCATGCACCCTGACTGGGGCTGGGGATCCAACCTGCAACCTAGGTACATGCCCTGACTGGGAATTAAACTTACAAATGTCTGGTGCACAGGAGGAAGATCTAACCCACTGAGCCACACTAACTGGGCCCCAGTTTATTTCTTGAATCAAAATCAGACTGGTTCTTTTTTTTTTATCCTCACTTGAGGACATTTTCCCATTTTTTGTTCATGTAGAGTGGGAGGAAGAGAGAGAGAGAGAGAGAGAGAGAGAGAGAGAGAGAGAGAGAGAAACATCGACGTGAAAGGGCCACATCGAGTGGCTGCTTTCCACACGACCCAACCAGGGTCGGGGACAAACTGCAACCAAGGTATGTGCCCTTAGCGGGAACCGAACCCAGGTTTCTTCTGACCGCAAGCCGACGCTCAGTCTTGTTCTTAAGTGGAACCTAGTCCAACTCCAGCAGTAACGGACAATTCTCATAGAACCTTAAATTGGGAAAAGGATTAAATCCACAAGAATTGAGATAACCAAATGATTCCAAACAAAATTAAGAGCTACAACTGCCATCAGTTTTCAACATGGAATCTACATGCTGATTCCAAAAACAAAAAATTGCAGGCTAAACTGTTAGCAGTTCCCACTATGGAATCCAGAAACAGAGCTCAAGGTTGGGGTTTCCACCCAGCAATTGCAGTCTGAAAGTCTAGGGACTTGGCTCCTGGTAGACCATCTGCAAGCTTAATTGGCTTTGGACAGGATTCTTTACCCACACATTTAGCTCTTAGTAGAATTTCTGCCAATTCAAGCTAATCTGCCCTGTAAAGGAAAGCCAATTTATATCAGGACATTAAACACAAAGAGAACAGAACTCAAACAAAGAGGGACTGACTTACTTAGAGCCTCTTTTTAAATTTTATTTTACTTTATTTTTTTTTTTACCACTCAGACCACATTCTCTCCTTTCCAAACAAGGTGATAAAAAGAATGATCCTCAATGGCAAATGGTAGATACAAAAGCAACACCAAGAGCTGGCTTCACACTCAGAAGAGAATGCTGTATCTCCTTGTGGTTTCAGGTGCTCTACACATTCAGTAAAATTTCTTTAGTAACAAACTATAGAAATAAACCCTGAAAGGTTAGTATTCCAAGGGCCCTCTTAAACAGCAAGAAAGACAGTGAACTCAGAGTGGGGTTTATGAGTGCCACGTCTGTGTTTCTCATTGTCCCCAAATGGTGTCTGAAGTTTGCTTTGGTTCCACCTCAGACACCAGATCTGTTTAAAAAGCCCAAATCTACCAAATACATTTGATGATCAAATTGGCTTTATTAAATGATTTATGAATCAGGTAGCATCCCACCTAGCAACTAGAAGGATGGCCCTGGCCAGTTTGGCTCAGTGGTTGGAGCGTCGGCCCATGGACCTGAGAGTCCCAGGTTCGATTCTTGCAAAGGGCATGTACCTTGGTTGCAGTTTGTCCCTGGCCCCGGTTGGGGTCATGTGGGTGGCAACTACTCGATGTGTCTCTCTCACATCGATGTTTCTCTCTCTCTCTCTCCCTCTCTCTCTCCCTCCCGCTCTATCTAAAGATATGCAAAGATGTCCTCGGGTGACGATTAAAAATTAAAAAAGATAGCCCTGGCCAGTTTGGCTCAGGGGTTAGAGCATCGGCTTGCAGTCCAGAGAGACCCAGGTTCGGTTCCTGCTAAGGGCGCATATCTCCGTTGCAGTTTGTACCCGGCCCTGATTGGTCATGTGGGTGGCAGCCACTTGATGTGTCCCTTTCACGTCGATGTTTCTCTCTCTCTCTCTCTCCCTCCCTCCCACTCTATTTGAACAAAAAATGGAAAAAATGTCTTTGGGTGAGGATTGAAAAAATAAAAAAGAAGGGTGTTCCAAGGGGTTGTACCAAACATAAGTTTTTATAGAAAAGAAGGGTGAGGCAAGGAAGCTATTAGCAAAGGAATGGAAAACATTATTTTGGGTCCTGAAAATCTTTTTTTTTTTTTTTAAATGTATCTTTATTGTTGAATGTATTACAGATGACCCCTTTTTTTCTCCATTTGCCTTTTCCTCCCCAATCCCACCCCCTCCTGCCTTTTCTACCTTATTGTTTGTGTCCATTGGTTATGCATATATGCATAGAAGTCCTTTGGTTTATTTCAATCTACCCTCCTCCCCCTCTTCCCTTTGAGGTTCATCAGTCTAACAACCAATTTATACATCTTTTTTTTCCTTTCTTTTTTTTATCCTCACCCGAGGACATTTTTCCATTTTTTGTTCGGATAGAGTGGGAGGGAGGAAGAGAGAGAGAGAGAGAGCGAGAGAGAGAGAGAAACATCGATGTGAAAGGGACACATTAAGTGGGTGCCACCCACATGACCAACCAGGGCCGGGGACAAACTGCAACCAAGGTATATGCCCTTAGCAGGAACCAAACCCGGGTGTCTCTGGACTACAGGCCAACTCTCTAACCCTGAGCCAAACTGGCCAGGGCCAATTTATACATCTTAATCCCTTTGTCTTTTTCACCCATTTCCCCAGCCCCCTCCCTATTGGCAAGCAATGAAAAGTCCTCTATATCTATGAATCTGTTTCTGTTCTGCTTGCTCATTTTGTTTGTAGATTCAATTGTTGATAGATATGTATTTATTGCCATTTTATTGTTCATATTTTTGTTCTTCTTCTTCTACAAGATGACCCTTCAACATTTTATATACTACTGGTTGGGTGGTGATGAACTCCTTTAGCTTTTTTTTTTTTTGTCTGGGAAACTCTTTATATGTCCATCGATTCTAAATGATAGCTTTGCATGATAGAGTACTCTTGATTGTAGGTCATTGCTTTTCATCACTTTGAATATCTCTTGCCACTTCTTGATGGCCTGCAAACTCTCGTTTAAAAAATCAGCTGACAGACTTTTTTTTTTCTTTATTGATTGTAGAGAGAGAGAGGGAGAGATAGGAACATTGATGAGAGAGAACATTGATTGGCCACCCTCTGCATGCCCCCCACTGGGAATTGAGCCCACAATCTGTACATGTGACCTGGCCAGGAATCGAACAGGTGACCTCTTGGTGCATGTGTTGACACTCAACCACTGAGCCACATTGGCTAGACCTGGATGACAGTCTTATGGGAGCTCCTTGTAGGTAACTAATTGCTTTTCTCTTGCTGCTTTTAAGATTCTCTCTTTGTCTTTAACCTTTTGCATTTTGATTATGACATGTCTTGGTGTGGACCTCTTCAGGTTCATCTTGTTTGGAACTTTCTGTGCTTCCTGGACTTGTATGCCTATTTCCCTCACCAAGTTAGGGAAGTTTTCTGTCATTATTTTTCTGTCATTTTTCTGTCATTAGTTTTCTGTCAAATAGGTTTACAATTTCTTGCTCTTTCTCTTCTCCTTCTGGCACCCCCATGATGCAAATGTTGGTATACTTGACATTGTCCCAGAGGCTCCTCACACTGTTCTCATTTTTTTTGGATTCTTTTTTCTTTTTGCTGTTCTGATTGGGTGTTTGTTTGCTTCCTTATATTCCAAATTGATAATTTGCTTCTTGGCTTCACATACTCTACTATTGATTCACTGTAAATTATTTTTTATTTCAGTTAGTGCATTCTTTATTTCTGACTGGTCCTTTTTTATGTTGTTGATATTCTCACTAAGTTACTTGGAGTTCTCCTTAAGTTCCTTGAAGGTCTCACTAAGTTCCTTGAAAGTCTCACTAAGTTTCTTGAGCATCCTTATAATCAGTGTTTTGAACTCTGCATCTGATTGATTGCTTACCTCCATTTTGTTTAGTTCTTTTCCTGGAATTTTGTTCTGTTCTTTCATTTGGGACATGTTTCTTTGGCTTCTCATTTTGGCTGCCTTCCTGTGTTTGTTTCTGTGTATCAGGTAGAGTTGCTATGTCTCCTAGGCTTCATAGGGTGGGCTATTATTGTAGGTTTCCTGTAGCATCCAGGCACACAGCCTCCCTGATCACCCCAGCTGTGCCCTTGAGGTGCACCCCTAGTGTGGACTGTACACCCTTCTGTTGTAATTGAGTCACACTGTAATTGAGGCAGAGCCACACTGACCACTGGCCTCTGATACCATTGGAGGATTAGCAGTGTAGGGGCCCAACACACAGAGCAAGACTTATTTCAGCAGGGCTCTGGTATCCACTGTGTCTACTCATTGAGTGTGTCACTGGTGGAGGTGGTTGGGTGGTAGTGCTTTGATGTGGTCTGAAGCTGTCCACTGTGTGAGTGTACTGGCTGTGAGGCAAGGTAAACCTCTGCCTATGTCTTACCTGGGGCCACCTGACATATGCTACAAAGTGATCTGCAAATGACTGCTTCTTGTGCTTGGCTTGGAGGTACCCAGGAAGAACCAAGTTGTGAATCAAGGCTGGCTGTTTCTAATGCCAGGCCTGGGGCCACTTAACAATAGGTATGGGTCTCAGTGAGACCAGATGTTGCTTGTTTGAGAGATTTTAGGAAAATCTGAAGCAGGATCCAAGACAGGTCAATCCTATGGTAAAGTCACTGGAAACAGCTTGGGTGAGCCTGAAAGTTGGGTGGAGCAGGGCCTCAGGGAATCACTAGGGTGGGGCAAACAGTGTGAGCCAGATTGCTGGAGTCCCAGATATGCCAGCTGTCTGCTGTGCCAGGGAAGGGCTCACCAAGGGAACAATGCCCTTCCACTGTAAGTCTATCCAGGAGAAAGCTGCCCCTCCAGCTCTCACCTCAATGTTGAACAATTCAGTTCTTCCCCAAATGTCTCTGGTGCCTTTCAAGATGCCTCCCCAAGGCTGGAGCCCAGAAGGAGTGAGTCCAAGTAAGTTAATGTGTGGGCCCTGTAACAGGAACTGTCTGGGGCCGAGCAGCCTCAGCCTCCCTCAGCCTCAATTCCTGCTCGTTTTATAGCCAGAAGTGATGGGGATTTCTCTTCTTGGCACTGGAACCCTGAGCTTGGGGGCCTAGTGTCAGAGGGGCACCCCTCACTCCTCAAGGAAGACCTTCATAGTCAAGGTACCCTCCTGTTTTTTATCTGCCATGCATGGGTGTGGAACCAGCCCATTTGCTCCTTTGCCCCTCCTACTAGTCTCCATGTAGCTTTTTTTTTCTTAATTTTATATTTTAATCCTCACCTGAAGATATTTTTCCATTTGTCTTCAGATAGAGTGGTAGCAAGAAAGAAGGAGAGAGAGAAACATCCACGTGAGTGGGGCACAGAGACTGGTTGCCTCCCTCAGGACCCTGACCAGGTTCCGGAATGAACTGCAACCACTGCAACAGAGGTACATGCCCTGGACAGGAACCAAACCCACGACTCGTTGTTTCATGGGTGGACACTCCACCACTGAGCCAAACTGTCCAGGGTGTGGCTTCATTTTTAATTTCATAGTTGTAGGACTTCCATTAAGCTCCATGTCAGGTGGTTCTGAATGATGGTTGTTCTGTAGTTTAGTTATAATTTTGATGTGATTGTGGGAGGAGGCAAGGCTTGGTTTAACTACACCACCATCTTGACCGGAAAACTTGGTCCTGAAAATCTTATTGTTTGGGAAAAAGAATTGGAAGGGTTTTTATTATGTAGACTACCTCTTCCTATGGGGGATAGAGAAGGCCCACTTGACAGTTTATCACATTAGTGTTGACCAGAAAATTCTAGACTGGTTAATTAAGATTATGTTTCTAGGAGAGATTGAAAGAGCAATTAGGTTGCGTATTAAGTCTACATTTTGTATCATGGACTTTAGCACAAGTGATGCCACTTTGGGTATATGGTTTTCTCTCTTTTTTTATTTTTATTTTTTCTTTATTGATTTTAGAGAGAGAGGAAGGGAGAGGTAGAAAGATAGAAACATTGATGAGAGAGCATCAATTGGCCACCTTCTGCATGCCCCTCATTGGGGATTGGACCCACAACCTCAGCATGTGCCTTGACTGGGTGAATCAGTGACCTCTTGGTGCATGGGTTGATGCTCAACCACTGAGCCACAACCACTGGGCTATGGTTTTTTCTTTAACACCACCCTGTTTTTAAAAAATTAACCAAATAAATCTAAAGATCTCTTTTATTTTATTCAATATTCATGAATTGGACTGTATTCCATCTAGCAAATAGAAAGAAGTTGTGACAAGCTATACAAAATGGA